TCCATTCTCTTTATGACACTCCGAAAATGGATTTGAATTTATTCAGAAGGGGAATGGATATGGATTTACATTCTTGAAAAGTCTGCCTTATTGACTGGCCTATTTTATAAAGAAAAGAGCCTTGATTCAACATCAGTTGTTTTAAATCAAGTTAGTAGATTGAAAACAAAACAACACAAAACCAGGAACCAGTTTCACAGAATCACAGAATCACAAAATTGAAGGGGTTGGAAGGGACCTCGAGAGATTATTGGGTCCAACCCTCCTGCCAAAGCAGGTTCCTTAGAGCAGGCTGCCCAGGTAGGTGTCTAGACGGGCCTTGAATATCTCCAGAGAAGGAGACTCCACAGCGTCCCTGGGCAGCCTGTTCCAGTGCTACGTCACCCTCACTCACCATGAAGAAGTTCTTTCGCATGTTGGTGTGGAACTTCCTGTGCTCTATCTTGTGGCCATTGCCCCTTGTCCTGTCCCCGCAAATTACTGAAAAGAGGTTGGCCAAATCCCTCTGTCTCCCACACCTCAGGTATTTATACACATTGATGAGATCCCATCTCAGTCTTCTCTTCTCCAGGCTGAACAGACCCAGGTCTCTCAGCCTTTCTTCATAGGGAACATGCTCCAGGACCTGTATCATCTTTGTGGCCCTCCGCTGGACTCTTTCCAGGAGATCCCTGTCTTTCTTGTACCAGGGAGCCCAGAACTGGACATTGTACTCCAGGTGAAGTCTGACCACGGCAGAGTAGATGGGGAGAATCACCTCCCTTGACCTGCTGGCCATGCTCCTTTTAATACATGCCCTCTTGGCCAGCAGGGCAAACTGCTGGCTCATGGTCAACCTGTCATTCACCAGGACCCCCATGTCCCTCTCCTCAGAGCTCCTCTCCAGCAGGTCATCTCCCAGCCTGTACTGATACATGTGGTTGTTCCTTCCCAGGTGCAGGACTCAGCTGGGAGAGAGAGAAGTGAGAAACAACCTTGCAGACACCAAGGTCAGTGAAGAAAGAGGGGCAGGAGGTGCTCCAGGAGCCCACAGTGCAGCAGGTGGATATGGCCTGGAGGAGTCTGTGGCCCACGGAGAGTCCCTGCAGGAGCAGACCCTGGGCCAGAGCTGCAGCCCATGGAGAGGAGCCCATGCAGGAGCAGGGGGCCTGGGATTAGCTGCTGCCCCTGGGGGAACCTGTGCTGGAGCAGTTTGCTCCTGATGGGTGGACCCCATGGTATGGACCTATGTTGGAGCAGTTCTTGAAGAGCTGCTGCCTGTGTGAAGCCCCACATGATCAGTTGGAAAGGACAGCATCCTGTAGGAGGGACCCCATATGGAGCAGAGGCAGAGAGTGACTGTGAAAGAGCGGTGGAGACAAAGTGATAGGGACTGACCGCAGCCCCCATTCCCCATTCCCTTGTGCCATTTGGGAGGAGGAGGTAGAAGAGAGTGGATGGGGAGAAGGTGATTTTACTTTTCTTTTAGTTTCTTGCTGTTCTAGTCTGCTACTCATAGGCAATAAACAATATTAATTTCCCAGTACTGTATCTGTTTTTCCCATGATGAGAACTGGTGAGTGACCACCACCTTTTCCCTTGAGGAGGGGGAATGAGAGAGCACTTGTGGTGGGGTTCAGCTGCCCAGGAGGGTAAAACCACAACAGCAACATGGAAAGTGTTTCTGAAATCTGTCATGGGAATCTGTCTCTGAATTTCAGAAAGTTGAATCCATTTCAGTGTCATCAAATACAACCAAATTTTAAATAGCAAGAACATAGTTATAGTCATGTGGCAAATCAAGGTTTCTTCTTAACCAAAAACCAAACCAAGATTTCTTCCTAACCATAAAGTTTTCAATTTATTGCTTAGCTAAGTAATGTGATGAAGCAACAACACACCTGAAGCTATTCCATTTCCAATTTCCTGCAATGCTACTGGCATTAATCAGTTGCATGATTCAAATCAGTAGGGAAAACAAATTAAACAGTACTTTCAATGGAGGCTAAATGTACAATTTATACTTTACACATCTCTTGCTAGCACTTTTACATCCAGGTATAACTGAGGCTGCATTTCAATGAAAAGTGAACCTACTTTTAAAAAACATTTTTTAGGTAATGTATGCTAGGCTATGTTCAGTTTTAAGACTGATAGCAATTACTCAAAATTATTAGTCTATACTTTTAGCTATCTAATATTATTGGTGATCTAGGGAGCTGATCTAGGTTTGAGTCTTTTTAGGTTTGGAGATATTTTTCTGTGCTTGCTTTATTATTTGTTTAGCCCACAGGCATGAATAAAGAGAATTTTCAAGTGCTAGAAGCAAATGTACCAGCAGAGAGAGTTTGCCCTTGTAGCTAAATTCAAGAAATAAGGATGTCTATTCTCTGAAGGCTAGCAAGATTTTAATTAAATTCTCTTTTTGAAAATCAGAAGGGCCTTAAAGTAAATAACTGTGATGCAAATGACAACCACAGGGATGACGTTCTGTGTTCTCTATTGATATGTCTATAATAATGATGCAATATCATGTGTACTAAGTATCAGACATGGATTAATCGTAACAATGCACACTGAGGAACATAACAACATTTCCAGAAGCCAAGGAATGAATAACACCATAAGCTGAAGTCCCTACATGGACAATCTAGCAAATCTAGATAATTTATAAATAAATATGGTGGAAGGGGATGGGGAGCAGGATGTGGCCCTCACTATCCACGAAGAACTGGTTGGTGACCTGCTACGGCACTTGGATGTGCACAAATCGATGGGGCCGGATGGGATCCACCCAAGGGTACTGAGAGAACTGGCAGAGGAGCTGGCCAAGCCCCTATCCATCATTTATCAGCAGTCCTGGCTATCGGGGGAGGTCCCAGTTGACTGGCGGCTAGCAAATGTGACGCCCATCTACAAGAAGGGCCGGAGGGCAGACCCGGGGAACTATAGGCCTGTCAGTTTGACCTCAGTACCAGGGAAGCTCATGGAGCAGATCCTCTTGAGAGTCATCATGTGACACTTGAAGGGCAAGCAGGCGATCAGGCCCAGTCAGCATGGGTTTATGAAAGACAAATCCTGCTTGACGAACCTGATCTCCTTCTATGACAAAGTGACGCGCTGGGTGGACGAGGGAAAGGCTGTGGATGTGGTCTACCTTGACTTCAGCAAGGCTTTTGACACCGTCTCCCACAACATTCTCCTCAAGAAACTGGCTGCTCTTGACTTGGACTGGTGCATGCTTCGTTGGGTTAGAAACTGGCTGGATAGCCGGACCCAAAGAGTCGTGGTAAATGGAGTCAAGTCCAGTTGGAGGCCAGTCACTAGTGGCATCCCCCAGGGCTCGGTGCTGGGGCCGGTCCTCTTTAATATCTTCATCAATGATCTGGATGAGGGCATTGAGTGCACCCTCAGTAAGTTTGCAGATGACACTAAGTTAGGTGCGTGTGTCGATCTGCTCGAGGGTAGGAAAGCTCTGCAGGAGGATCTGGACAGGCTGCACCAACGGGCTGAGGTCAACTGTATGAAGTTCAACAAGGTCAAGTGCCGGGTCCTGCACCTGGGGCGCAATAACCCCAAGCAGAGCTACAGGCTGGGAGATGAGTGGTTGGAGAGCTGCCAGGCAGAGAAGGACCTGGGAGTGATGGTGGACAGTCGGCTGAATATGAGCCAGCAGTGTGCTCAGGTGGCCAAGAAGGCCAACGGCATCCTGACTTGTATCAGAAACAGTGTGACCAGCAGGGCTAGGGAGGTGATCGTCCCCCTGTACTCGGCTCTGGTGAGACCGCACTTTGAGTACTGTGTTCAGTTTTGGGCCCCTCGCTACAAGAAGGACATGGAGGTGCTTGAGCGGGTCCAGAGAAGGGCGGCGAAGCTGGTGAGGGGCCTGGAGAACAAGTCCTACAAGGAGTGGCTGAGGGAGCTGGGCTTGTTCAGCCTGGAGAAGAGGAGGCTCAGGGGTGACCTTATTGCTCTCTACAGATACCTCAAAGGAGGCTGTAGTGAGGTGGGGGATGGCCTGTTCTCCCATGTGCCTGGTGACAGAATGAGGGGGAATGGGCTAGAGTTGTGCCAGGGGAGTTTTAGGTTGGATCTTAGGAAGAACTTCTTTATTGAAATGGTTGTTAGGCACTAGAACAGGCTGCCCAGGGAGGTGGTTGAGTCACCATCCCTCGAAGTCTTTAAAAGACGTTTAGATGTAGAGCTTAGGGATATGGTTTAGTGGGGACTGTTAGTGTTAGGTTAGAGGTTGGACTCGATGATCTTGAGGTCTCTTCCAACCTACAAATTCTGTGATTCTGTGAAATAAATCTTTAAACTAAAATTATTAATAATAATAATAATAAAAAATTAAATCTCTCCCCCTGAGGAAGAAAAAAAAAAAAGGTTGTCATGTTGTCACAGCTGACCAAGAATCATCATTTCACTTTTACAAATCCGATATCAACTCTTGTTTAGAGGTAACAATCCATCACTAGTTATTATCAATCAAATGCTGGTGAAAACATGTGATGCACTTTGTTGCACATGCCTTCTTATTCATTGACCTGCTTTCCTGTCTTTGACTGTATATGATACTCAGCAGCCTGTGGATAAGTGTAGTGTCAATGATGTTTGCTAATATGGAGTATTTTAACTCCTCTGGCATGGTTCCTTTCCCTCCCAATCCTTGTACCAGCTTTTTTGCCCTCCTCTGGACATTTCAAGGACCTTAACATTTATTTATTTATCTATTTGTTTGTTTATTAATATTGTGGAGACCAGAACTGCACATGATATTCAAGGGGAGGCTGTACTGACACAAAATATAGAGAATCACCTCTTTTGACCAGATGGATATGCTGTGTTTAATACATCCTAAAATTCATTTTGTCCTATTAGCTGCCTGGGCACACTGCTGACTCACTGCTTACTGAACAAAGGTTCTCCAGCTGAAGGTTATTTAGCCTCTTCCAGCTGTGCCTTACCTAAAGACGTGTTTTCCCAGCCATTCTTTGCCACCAAAAGCTGATAACCTGTTCTCAAAGCAAGTGGGAGAAAACAAATAAGTTCAGGGACTGTGAAGTGGATTTTGAGCAAAACTTTGTTCAGTTCTGTTCAGCAGTTTGTTGTACCTTGAAAACATTAGGAATTTGTGCAAATCATTCTTCAGATTGTGATAGCTTTTGCTCATTTATTCATGTGGTGTAGATTGAGCAGCTGAATCAGAGAAGAGGGAATGGGATCTGCATGTCTCATTGTCAGATTTCTTAATGAAACAATTTTTGTGTGGCAGAAGTCATATTTTTAACAGCTTGGGATGCAAGACAGAAGCTGTGGTGTCAATAAGTCAATGATATTCTATGTTTAAGGTTAGGCATAACAGCCTAAAGAACACAAATGTTAAATGATCAAGGTTTTCTTAAATTTCTCTTCATTGTGGGTTATTATTTGTTGATGTAACTGAATTTGCATCATTTGTATACCACTCTAAGTATGGTAGGTAGAGTTTTGTTAAACTGTACTCCCATGTACATAAACTGTAGGACACAAGAAATATTAGTAATATCTCATGCTTCAGCTATGCGTGAAACAGATGCTTGGAGTTTGAACTGTGCAACATTTTTTGTACAACTGATTCATTGTGACCTACCTTTTGTATGATGCCTGACTGAGTATGCAGAAATCTTAATGTTAATAACTAGTTCCTTGCTCTTCATTCATGGTTGAATTCTACTATTTTCTCTAGGGTGGAAGAAACATTTTGCTTTTCCCAGACCACGAGAATTGATGAAATATTAATTCAGTGCCTGACTTCCCTACTTGACTGAAGTGTATATCAGTTCACTGCAGTTAGAGAGGTATGGCAGCTTCAAACTATAATTCTTTCCTGGTACCCTCAGGAGCAGAGTGTGTTTTTCAATGTCCATTAGAAAGGTGAGTGCTTAAATCTATACCTCATTTCTCTTTTATCCCCTAAATCTTTGAACACAACTGTGTGATTATGCCTTTCACTTAAACAAGAAATCCTGCAAATCTTTGAATAAATTTATTTGATTTAAACTGAACTAAATAATAAAAACTCCATATTTTACAGTACCTCTCAATACTAAACACTTGATTTGGTAAATAGTTTTTGTTTTAACGTGGCAAGCATGAAATCATAAATAATACTCATGCTAAGAGTCAAAAGTGCTTAGAAGCCTTTAAGCCTCTTACCTCTACAAATAGGTGTCAGTCCAATACTCTCTGAACAAGTTCGGTTAGATATTCCATGTTTGGAGGGTGTAATGTTTAATATCAAATTTATTTATTTGAAGGTATTTTATGTCACAAACAAATTTCTGACCTAGCATAGAAATACAAAATATTCTGAAAGCATAATACAAATTTAAGTTATACTTAACATAATATAGCAATTGCAATACGCATTTCAAACAAAATACCAATGTGGTTCTCATTACTAATCTCTATAATATGCTCACCATTAAGATGCTAGGTGTTTGTGGGCTGAAGCCAGCTCAAGGCTATTGCTTTCTTTAAAGATCTTTTGGTAATTGTTTAGTTTTTATTTCTAGTTTTGAGAAAATGTGCTGATTTATAATTGTCACTTGTAATTTAATATTAGCATATTAGGATAATGATCAGAGTTTGTAAATCTTTCTTTTCTGTGGGCCACACATTAAAACCTTCATATGGCCACAAAACACATAATTTACCCCTTCAAGAAGCTGGAAAAGAAAGAAAGCTCAAGGAAAATTTGTACAGAAAAGTGACAATGGCTTTTCTTCTCTTCATTGCATAGTGAAGCTGAGTCTCAGGGTATGAAGCAGTTGATTTTCTTGGTCCAAGAAAGACATCATCCTGGCCAGTCTTGCTGCTAATCTGATGATCTGTACCTCTGCATGTAAGTTTGAGAGCTGGATTTACCCATACAACATAAGTTATCTACAGTTCTCGATATATTCCTTTTGTTAGAAATGCCATTATCCACTGAAGATGCCAAACTGCATATCCCAAGAGAATGCAGTTTATCATAAAGATCTCAGCTGAACTGATAGAGATCGCAGATTATAAAGTTTATGCAGTACAGGACTGAGCTGAACTTCATTAAGAAATACTGAACAAAGAACCTTACTATGCTATTTTCAGACTTGGTTTTCAGAGGGTAACTGAACATTTAGCTACATTAAGGCATTTTTCTTGCCCTTAACAGATGAGATTTTTTTTTGTCCTGTCACCAGCTGGTGACCAGCTGATGTCCTAGTTCATGAAGATAGCTTTTTTTTTTTGATAGCTTTTAGTTCTGTGCAATGTTGAGTCTTACAAAATGTTAATCTGACTTTAGCCTTACATTGGAATTTCTGATAAATATTTTGCTGAAGTGAGTTTCTTGGGTTAACTATCTCTTGCAAGAATAACAATGCCTGTTTTAAAAGTACTGTTTTTAAATGTCAGACTACCTTCTGGTGCCTATACTATAGAAATAAGTATACCAGAAATAAGTATACTAGAATATGTAGCATGCTTTCACTGCATCTTCTATTTTTTTGTTCACTACTTTCTGTTTTAATTCTTAATGTCTACTTCCAAATAATAGAAGAATAAGCTCACCCACTACCTCTTCATTGCTGTTCTTGTATGGTTCTTTTGTATTCATGTAATTTTCAGACTTTCTGCAATGAGATAACCCAAACTGAAAACAGTATCCAGAGCACAGATTTACTACTGCTTGATATAACGGCATTATATAATTTTCCATATTGTTTCTTCCTATGTTTATTGCCTTTTGATGTCACTGCATACCATGAAGACATCTTCATTCCCCAATCTATAATTGTGCATAGATCTTTTTTTCCAGGGCTCCACTATGTGATCTTTTTCACACAGTGCATTATTTCTATGAAATATAACATTATACTGTACACTATGAAGTGTACATTGGTGTAACATTATCATGTCATGGTTCAGACCTCAAGATTTCTACTTGCAGTTAGAATTATATGGAAGTATTTGTTTTATTTGTCTTTGTGTGTGTGTGTGTGTGATCAGTGATATATATGAAATGTCTTACTGCTTACAGCTTCTCACTCTCCTGTCCTGTTTTATTTCTATTTAAAGTTTGGAATAAAATAGAGGAGAAAATAAAGGAAAAAAAATAAATAAGGTTATGGCTATTTCATGCATCCCACCCCTGTTGACTTTGGCTTAAAAGTATTGCCTGTTGGTCTGGACAAGGGACAGAGTCTCCCAAGAGGCCATCAGCCTGAATGTCTTGAGGGACTAAATTCCTTTGACATAAATGTTTTATTTCTGAATTAGCACACTATTATGATAGTGGGTTAAGACATTATAATATTTACAAATAGACAAAAAAGTTCCTGCTGTACTGTGAGTCAAAAACACTTTTTTTTTCTCTCATATATCCTACTACATTAAGTTTGAGTAGCCTGGTTTGTGTATATGGACTCCAAGTGTTTCGAAAAAACAGAATTTATTCTGTTATTTATTAAAAACAGAATTAACAAGCAGTGGGAAAGTTATAAGATTGCAATGTTTCTTCACATCGTTGACTGAAGATTTCAAGTAACAATCTGTACTAGACCAGCTGCTTTTTTTTTTTTTTTTTTTTTTGTAGTACCTGAAGGCCTTAATGAACTCATTATACTAGGAGTCCACTTACGTTTATGAAGAGGGAAAAATCGGTTCCACAAATAAATTACAAAGTATAAATTGAAGAAGAAACAAAACAAAACCAAACAAATAAAATAAGAAGATTCAGTAATCTATCTGCCTGTTCCACGCCTTAATAGAACATAGCACCAATTCATCTTTAGCGATATTTTTTGGTGGATTGCCTTGTCCCCTTTCATGGTTCCCAAAAAGGAATTCATGAGAGAGCTAACATGGGTTTTCAAGATTTAGACATTCTAGTATGAGCTTTCCACATGCAGTGCAGCGGAACTGTCCCAGGTCTCTGGTGTTTGTAGAGCTTTCTATATGACAAATAATTTTATGTTAAGTGGGACCTCCTATGTCTGGTAAAGTAGATATGCTTAATATGCATTAGAGAATACATAAAAGATAGTGTTTTTAGTATGTTGTTATAATAACTCCCGGTTCTCAAATCTTTGATAAAATAGTTATCTCCTTTTTTATTTTTTCCTAGAAATAGTTTTATTTTAATTTTTTCTCACAATTCTAGTTGCAGAGATTTAAATGTGAACAAGAAAGCACAAATTTTTACCTCAACAATGCCAGTAAACTGTAATCTTCCTGGAACAAGAAAATATGAGGAAAAAAAAAAAATTGAATCTGTTTACCTGACTTTTTCTTGTTGAACTCCTTGTTGGAATGCAGAAACAATTGTTTGGGGGGGAAGGGGAGATAAGAGTGAATTCTGGTTTATCTTTAAAGGTCTCCCAGCTCCATCAATATGGGTGACAAGCTCAGCATATACTAGAAGGACTGCCAATGTTGTATGCATTCTTAATATTGTAGATCAAGCAATTAATATTTTGACCAAAACTGCTTGATAGATTTTATTATAATCTCCCTAGAAATACAAAAGTATCCTTAAATCTACTGCAGTGTAGCAGATCACTCAATCTGGGCTTGTTTGGTTTTGTTTTTTTTTTTGTTTTGTTTTTATGTTATGATTTATTTTTATAGTTTATATCTAGCTATTATCCTCAGATTTTTTTGGCATTTGAAGATGCTTGTCATCTTCCTTCCAAAAGTTTGCTGATGTGTCTTTAGAGAAAATGACTGAAATTATAGAGCTGTTTCAAGCAAAATGAAAAGTATTTCCTAAGTTGTCTTAAAGGCAATCACCATTCCCACCTTTCTTGATAGAAAATCTCCTTCCTTCCTTTCTTCCTTCCTTTCTTCCTTCCTTTCTTCCTTCCTTTCTTCCTTCCTTTCTTCCTTCCTTTCTTCCTTCCTTTCTTCCTTCCTTTCTTCCTTCCTTTCTTCCTTCCTTTCTTCCTTCCTTTCTTTCTTTTCATTTTTATTGAAAGAAAAAATAACAAGCAGAATTTAAAATAGGTATAGTAATTGTTTCAGACTGGCTAATGACTGGGTTGAGACTGTTAGTAAAGTTGTTACTTCAAGAGACGTAGCTAAAAGCAAATGGATCATTTAAGCCCAATTTCAGGTTTTGACATTACAGCAGGGTTTATCTCAAAGCCAAGTTTCAGGACTTGATATGTCAGTAGAGTTTTATTGAGACTTAGACGGTTTATGGATTATATATTCTTCTCAGTGTTTCACTTTATTAGAGCTATTCTTCACATCCAGAAACAATTAGCATTCAGTGCCAGTCATGTGTTTTCACACTATAGGCTAAGGTGACATAACTTATACAAGTACTTGTCAATCAGTGAAACTACAATTATGGATTGCATTTAGTGTTTGTTTTGTTCTGTTTTGTTTTTCCCTCTTCTGAATTTAAAAAACAAATCAGAAAACCCATTGTTGTTTTCTTTTTAGATACCCCATCTCAGCAGATTGTTTGTATTATTATTTATAATTTTATATTTTTTATGTTAATTTTGTCATCAATAGTAATGAAAATCATTGAACCTCAAGATTCTTTCATTGTCCTCCAAGTCTTCCTGAAGTCACTGGGAGAAAGTTCAGTATATTGCCATACAGCAGCTCAATTTCAAAAGCACAAAGAAGGCAGATTTTCCTGATGAATTCTGCAATATTAATTTTGGAAATAAATAAATAAATAAATAAATAAACCCTGTAGTTTTGGTCCATACTTTATGCTGATTCAAGGACAATAATGCATTAACAGGCTGTTAAAATACAGGCTCATAGTAAATATAAAAACATTGTGTATGATGCTATTCTCTGGGTATATTTGAATTAACTGCAGGGAGCTTTATTCCTAAGTAGAACTCATAAATTGCCAAAATGATTATATGGCAAACAACTCTGTTAAGTACAGATGGGGCTCTAAACATAATATGTCAAGACATGGACATATCAAGTATATGAGCTAGTCTGCCCTTTATTTAAGGTGAAGTCAAGTGTAGCCTGTAGTAGTTCTGGCTAGTACAGAAAATATATTCAGATGGAAACATTTCTCAGATCTTTGTATATCTCTAGAAAGCTCCTTCAACATCTACAATTCCATCAGCTAAACCTTGCCTATGTCCGCTGGTTAGCTCAAATTCATACAAGAGTCCAGGTGGAAGAAAGGTAGTGGACTTTGTTACCATGCTTTAAATGTACAAGAATGAGTCCTGGAAGTGAGAACTAGGATGCTAGTAGCCTAGTTCTTCTCTTCTTCACATAGACGTGAAATATAAGTGACTGCACTAGAATAAAAAACAGTGAAAAATATGATAATGCTTTTTGCCTTTACTGGGAGTTATCAGAGGCAGAGAGAAACACTCATAGGTTACCATCCTGCTTTAAGATTTCTCTTATCTGAACAGTCAAATAGCAAACAATATTTGAGTTTCCCATTCTAAATGATGCTGTATGCACCTCTACATGAAGTCCATAAGAACATGACATGTAGTATGCTGTTATTGAATGACATTAAGAAAATTTTCTCTTTGAACTTTTTCAACTGTGTAGAGAGGAATTCAGCTAACCTGCTCAGTGCATGGGGATAATTGTGAAAAGTCATTAGAGCATAATCATTAAAGGTATGAGTAGTATTGGTGGAACATGACAAAATGCAGTCTGTTTCCAGGAGAATATATCTGGTTAAAAGGCTGACTATCCCTGAACACCTGAGTTACTTTATGAAAAAAGACAAAACTAAAAGCCTGTAATAGGTATCAGATCTTGAAATTCAAGTCTGAATATTTATTTCTTTAAAGTATTCAAGCTTTCTGAATAAAGTTACCAACCTTTTGCTGGATAAGCCAAATGTTATTATTGATGTCCCTATGAAGATGTCTTGCACTTATCAACTTGCACAATTCAACTTTGTGAAAAAATTCTTTAGTTTCTGGACTGCTTTATTTATTTATTTATTATATTTTTATTATTTATTTTTTTCCTTTTAAATGAACTGTCTTATACTTCCAACAACTCTAGACGATTTAAGAAAAAACAAGGAAAAAAAAATCATTCACCAGACACATTTTTCATTTCTTGTGGCAAAGCCCCACGCTTATTTAGAGAGCATAGTCCCTCATTTGACCTCTCGCAAATAGACTTTGAGGTTTATGAGCCAAAGAGAAAAATTAACAAGTCAATAGCCTATAATAAATTAACATGATATGATTTGTTATGAACTGCACTTATAGTCAATATTTCCAACTGTTCTGTTCCAACTAAATTTCTGGAATATTTACAATATAGTTATTTATGCCAGAGAAGTATTCAACTCCTACATGTATATCAGGCAATGTGAGGAAAAATACAATCAAAAATAAAATTCATAAAAAATAAAAACAGATAAATTCAGGATAATCTAGTCTAATCTAGTCAGAATAATTTAGAACTGCTTATGTAAAATGCATTAACTGTGCCCTTGGAATATATTACAACTATGCAAACTAACCTCCTTATGATATACAATACATCAAATAAATCAAAATGATTTTGCTGTGATAAAGCCAACTATATTATACCTAAAGGTAGTCAATTAAGCGATAAGACATGACACTAATCACACTAATTCATCTTGAGCTCAGTCATTGAAGGTGTCGAGTTATCTCTTTCTAGCTTTCCCCGCACATTCCTAGGACTTCTAGTGGAAGCTGAAGTTATTCACTACCTCACAAGATTAAGATCTGATGCATTCCTAGGTACCTAAGTACCCCCTTCCATATAGTCCTATTTTTACACGCAAAATTATGAATTGCCTTCAAAATATTAAGCACTCATCATTAAATTCAGCTTGATCTAGAATTGTGTATTTCATGAGAATAAGAAAAGTTTAAAATACGAGATGAACTTTCTATGATTCTACAAACTTTTGTCTGCTTACTTGTAGCTAGTGAAATGGTTCTGAGGTAAGGGAAAAGGGATATGTGAAAACAGATGCATATATGTGAGACTTTGCCACTTGTTCTAATGTCTTTTCCTTACTTTTATTGATACATATGCAACAT